TGCGGTGTACTACGGTTGTAAACCTAGTTATAAATAATAAAAAGTTATACCTAATCTAAGAAATTGCTCTTATTGTAAAAATTTAAGGACTGACTCTTAGGTAAAACTTTTACGGCTGTCATTATTTGATTGATTAGTTTAACTCTTAATTATTTAAAATTTAAATTTATTATTAGAGATTAAATTAATATATGACAATATGAAGTAATTATTGATTTTGGAGACATATCATACATAGTTAGTTCTTTCCATATTCCAATACTCTATTTTCTTTAGTCGATTGTGTGAGATAGAAGTAAAAATGTCTTAAAGAAGATACCCACTCTTTATTGCAAAGTTTATTTGATTGTTTTGTAGACTTGTAATGCATGTAGTATTTGTTCATATTAATGAATCTCTTTGGTCAAAAGAGAAAAAGTAATGAATCTCATACTTGGAATTGTTCATATCCATATATATCATGTTTTAGGCTTCGAATGATAACTGCGGTTTTTGCTACGAGAGAAGTGCGATGCGGTTCAAATAGTAACGAAAATACATATATATATATATATGTCTATGCAGATATTTTGACACTGGTTTTGTAGTGCAGTATAGTTACCATTCGGAGCCTTAGCATCAAATATTACATTTTATCTTGTTTGTTTGGAAAAATAATTTTTTTGTTGACATATATAGTTTGACCTTCTATCTTAAAATATGTATAATATACTATGTTTTAATTATATACTTTTATTTTATATTGATTCTCCTAAATGTGTAACTTACAAACTCATAAGATTACTCTAATTCGGAGCCTTAGCATCAACTTTCTATTTCCTCAAATTGAGATTTTAATGTATTTCAACTTTTTAAAAGGGAAACATTTTGCATAAAATGAGCATAGTGTATACAATTAAAAAAACATCTAAATTTAGTTATAACACAAAACAAATATAGGGATAGTTTAGTAATAAAAAAAAAAAGATAAAACACGCGGACCTTAAATGTCCGACCCGGACGCATGGAAGCGGACCGAAACTCGGTTGGTGATATTTTTTTCAGTTACATGTTGTTACCCTGCCATAATCGATTTAATATGCCAGCAGAGCACAAAACTTGAAGACCAAATAAAGTCAATTTATTTATGTCCCACTATAATATTCAATATTCTAAAAATATAGATTACAAATATAAACGAAATTTTTGGTAATTATTGGAAATCATTTAAATCTTAAATTAAATAAGCCCATAACTGTACGAAAAAATAAAACTTCTTATACAATCGGAAACTTCTAATTTCAGTTTTGTGAAGTTTTTAGTTACAAATTAATGTTACTAGAGATAAGACCCGCGCAACGCGCGGGGTTGTTCGCTATGAATTTTTCCTTAATTATTTTTTATTTGGTGTTATATTTTTAAAATTAATGATCGTATGTACATTTTTGTCGTAATTGTTTGGCTATATTTTGGTTTTTCCATATTCAGATACTATAATCTTATACTATTAGTTATTCATTTGTTACTCGTATTCCAATTAATGTTTTTGGTTTTGTTTAATGTTTTTGGTTTTGTTTGGACACATGTATTAATATAGTTAGATTGAAAGCTTTATCTTATAAGAAAAATGTGACTATAAACCATTTTTTATTCTTTTATTTTATTTTTCCTTTTTTTATTGTCATATTTTTAAATTTGACTAAAAATTAATTTATCTAAGATGAAGCGTGCTCTATTTGGTATGTCGTTTTTATCTATTTGAATTTGGGTCTTAACAATAAAGAATCTCGAATTTTTAAATATTGACCCATGGCATAGTATTTTTTTGTTAAAATGTTTTGTAACTGAGCATGCACTTATGACATGTCCTGCCAAGCTCATATAATGCATACAAATTTCTTTGTGTTTGATTTAAGAGTCGATCTACTTTTTAGATAGTTTACTTATTTTTTTTAATTTTATTTTACTCTATGGGATCCAATATTTCTATTTTTTTGTTTACTTTGCATAAACCTTATTTAGTCAGAGATGCCATTGTAATCAACGGATTAACTTGGACGGGATATTCAAGGATGAAGAGAGCTCAATCTAGCAAAGGAGGATGCCGATACCATTTTCGATTTTTTTATTCTTTGTCGTAGGCATTATGTTTTATTTCGTTTTCACCATATTTCGATATGGCGGTCCTCCAAGATAGATTTTAAATTTTCAGTTTGATTTTATCTTTTAATAAGAAAATTTTGATATTTACCTCAAATTGAGATTTTAATGTATTTCAACTTTTTATTTCCTAAAATATTACGTTATGATAGCAAACAAATATTATATATAGACAGCGCATTCAATTATAAAATAATAAACTAAAAATTTCAATGGTTGATTTGATTCTTTAAATGAAAAATTATTATTATATACATAAAAGAAAGAAATATTATAAAATTAAAACTAAGCAAATACTAAATATATAAATTATGATTAAATACAGCAAAGTATGATTAAAATAAAAATAAATATCCACAATAATGACATATATATATATATATATTGCCATTTAATAAATGTAATCTCTCTTAGTTTTTGGTTTATTAGTCATAAAATATCAATCACTATTTTATTTAGTAAACTTATTTTTGCATATTTGTCTTAGTTTTTATTTTAAATAATAATTATTGTATTTAATATTTTTTTAGTTTTATATTTAATAATAATTATTGTATTTTTGTTATTATTGAACTTAATATTCTTTAATTTTATATCTAATCATAAATTTACATATATATATATATATATGCGTATATATGTATATATGTATTTTTTGTTTGTAATATTAATGAAATGTTATTGTGGCTTATTGGTTCAGAGTACGTTGAAAGTCCCTAAATCTCATGTCGTTTGGAGTTTGATAGATGGGAAACGAAAACTTTAACAGAAAGTTAACTCTGTTAACGGAAATTTAACGTCATGTCCGAAATGGCCAGGTCAATGAGACTTGACTATTTTATCAGAAAGGCAAACAAAATTTTAAGACTTAAATGACATTTCGAAAGTTCATGCTTTTTCGTCTACAATTTGAAAGTTGGAGATTTTTTTGACATTTTTAATTTTTAATTTTAAAAACATATTTTAGTTATATATTATATTATAATTCTAAATAATAATGTGCACTGAACTACTCTATTTTCTTATCAATAACATGAAATTTATAATTTAACACTAAAAATGGAAAAACTTCTTATTTTGATTGAAAAGACAAGGAAAAACATTATGGTTTTCTATTTTGCCTACAAGAAAACAATATGGTTGAAGCTTGATAGTGCAACTTAAGTTCAGAATTCAATTCAAAGAATCAGAATCCAAATAACATTAAGAAACTAAATGATTTTGGCACATAAAAATTTAGAACATGATTAATGTCAACTTGTATATGACATACTCAAACTTGAATCTCTATTTCGAATTTTCAATACTAATTAAGTTACCCATCAGTTTATATGAGCATAAAATGGATTTTTGAGACGAATCTTTTGACATATATTTAAGAATTAGTGAGGTGACTATTTAACAGTATAACTATTTTTCTTAACAGCTAGTAATATATATCACTAATCTATCTTTTGTGGTAATTATGAAATAATCAACAAATATGCAGAAAGAAACTTTTTAGGCACTCAAACTTAATTAGCTACTAATATTTCTTAATTAATGAATCCTTGTAGAGAACTAACTTGAGAACATGATAGTTAATTAATGACAACAACCAAAACAAAAGATAATGCTTATTTATGTGACGGTATGACCTAATCTCCAGAATGAGACATATTTTGTCGCATTATCATTAGAGAAAGAAAAATACAAAAATAAAACATATAAATGCACGTTTTTTATCATATAGTATCTCAAATGTAAACACAGCTTTTGTTACGTATGGTTAGAAAATAAGTCACGTATATTTCATGTGTGGCTGATAACAAAAACTACATTATTTTCCCCACTAATAATGTTTTCTTTTATAATATATAATTCCAACAAAATTATAATAGTTGTGACTTTGTGATTATTGGTGTGATATAAAGTTTACCGTTTTTGTTGTAACTAATCATGAAAATAATACTACAAAAAGGATATGTTTTTTTTTTATTCTTCCTTTATTTTGTATTTGAATAATATATTTATGTAAATTTATTTATATTTATTTGCTAAATATTTTGTAATGTTTTTTGGTACTACTAGGAATCAGTTATTTTAAATGAATTAAAATTCTTTTGTTAATGTTGGAATTTTAAATGATATTGGGGATTAAAGGGAATAGTCTATTTTATTTTTAAGAAGAATAACAATCGGTAGCAAATCAAATATTTGTATGTAAATACACTTTATAATTTGTCATATATATATATATATATATTGGTAAAGTTGTAACATTATGTAATATAATTTACGAATAACAAGTAACAAACAATTTAGTTCAAAAACGGATTCCTCTTTTGTTACAATTCGAACCCAAAAATTATATAGAAATTTTATCTCTTAATTTTAAGAAGTCGGCTAGAAAGCGAAGAACAATTTATATAAACTGGTATATGTATTCATTGTATGGGTTATAACATATTATATAATATAAAATAGTATATAAAATTAATAAGAAGTTTGGAGTATTTTAAGAAAACTTCATACTTATAGAAAATTATATAGAATTATTATTTATTCATTTATTTTTTTTATTTTATAAGAAGTCGGCTAGAAAGAAGATCAATTTATATAAAAATGAGTATATATGTATGGGTTATAGTATGTTATATAATATAAAATAATATAGAATAGAATAAAAATAATAAAAAGAAGTATGAAGTATTATTTAAAGAATCTGAAATTAAAAACTATAGAAGAAGTTGGATTATATATTCCATCTTTAAAGACAGTGAGGGTCCTCTTTTGCGTGACTGTCAAATCTCATTCCTCTTCTTCTTCTTCTTCATTCTCTTTCCTCTCTTCTTCATCATCTCTCCTCTCACAGAGAAAAAGAAAAAAAAATCTGAGTTTCCGAGAAAATTTTTATATATAAAAGAAAATCTCAAAGAATCCGATCTTTGTCTCTCTGTTTCTGTAAATGCTCTAAGCAAGTTCTTGTTGTTGCAGGTATTGTAATCTTTATCTCTTTTGTTTTGTTTCTTTGATATAGTTTAACACAGTTTTGAAACTTTTACATAAATATTTATTTATGAGTGTTTCTTGATTTGTTCTTAGCCTTTTATTTTTTTGTTTTTTTAATTTTCATAGGTGATTGTGTTTTAAAAAAAGTTGGTGATTCTTAAGAGTTTAGGGAATATATATGTATATTGATTGTAGAATTATATATTTCAGTTTCAGATGCGAAAGTGTTTTTAGTTTGAGTTATACAACTTTTGTTATATATAAAGAAAAACAAACTTTTTAAAGATAAGTTTTTATTAAAAAAAATTAATGGAAGTGGGTTAAATCCATTTTGATATTTCTATACAATTTCATTCTACAATAAGTAAAATTTAAAAACTTATATATATATTTGTTGTTTTCAAATCACATAATAGTATATTACCATAAATTTCAAGATTAAACAACACTAATTTGCAACAAATTAAAAAAATATTAAAATTTGATAGTTGTAGAATGTAAAGTAATTTCAAAGATTAATGATTATTTTACCCTTGATCCAATAAGGAACCATCCAATAACATACATGTTTAAATAATGAGTTAAATCTCTTTTTTTAGGGGACAGAAAATACTCAAATGACAAATATATATATATATATATATATATATATATATATATATATATATATATATTACTTAAGTTAATCTTTATAAGTACTAGTGTTGT